TAATTTTTTGATCCCCCACCACGCTAAGAAAAGCGTGTATTGGTATTTTGAAAATATTTTGCAAGAAAAGCATTTTTTTATTTTTTTTATTTTTAAGTATTTTGTAAGCAAGGCAGTTGTTTCCCCGCAAGCGGGTACTTATGGGTATCCCCGCTTTGTCGTACGCATTGCACCGGGCTCCTATCCCACCATGCTAAGAAAAGCGTGTCTAGGCGAGGTTTCCAAGGCGATACGAACATCAAAGAAGGAATTATGTGATTACCCGTTTCGTTGCAAGTGTCGGGACGCACGTCCTCCTACCACGCTAAGAAAAGCGTGTATAGGTGGAAGACCGGCAAGATATTAAGCATTGCTCGTGTGATGTTGGCAAGGTTGTGGAGTTCGCTAAGATGGAAAAATAATTAAAAGCCTTGGAAGACCGGCAAGAGAAACTTGCTTCCATGATGCTGCACACATAATAAAGTAGAAGATGTTTGCATCTTATGGTTAATTTCTATCAAGAAACTAAGATCTTATCATTGATGATTGAAGTTTGTTTCTCTTTCTATTACTTATTATTATTAGGAAATATGTGATTGTCTTAGTTGGTTTTCCAGTAAAGTTTGCATGTTATTTCTTGCATCTATTAACTTAGAATGTTTACACTTAAATCTAAAAAATTCATCAAAGTAATACTCAGCCATTAGCACTACATTGAATATTAGATTAGCATTAAAAAACATGCACCTAGTCGTGCATCAGATTGCCATAGCTCCAATAGTTATTTTGCTACCTGCCATTATCGAACATTCAAACATTGACAAGATAATTAATTTGTCCATAACTTTTGCAGGCAAGGTTATCATTGCACAATACTTCGTTCTGCAATAAAATGCACAGTGCAGGGATGAAGAAATTCACCAATATAATTTTCCCAGAATGAGTATGGCTCCTAAAAAGAAATTGGAACCAAGAACAAGAATACACCAAAATAAACTAACAGATGGCCCAAATTATGATGTTACCTAATATGCAAAACGAATATCGAAATTGTCGTGCACAGACAAGTCTACATGAAAATATATAATGCACATTCTAGGCTCTCTTCATGGTCACATACGATAAGGAGAGGAACTGAAACCTCAACATTAACCAAATATTTACCTTGTCAATTGCAGGAGAACCGTAAATACTACCACCACATAAAATCTTGGAAACACAAAGGTGTCTTTTATAATCTAGGGCGTACAAATGGTGGTCATGCGACCCACACCTGTAGATTGTAAGCAGAAATAAGTTATCAGGTAAGAGAAATTCATTTTCAACAAGTACAATGAAAAGGGGCATTTAAATAATTCAAATAATGGTGTAATCCCTATGGAGCAAAGATTAGAAGTGTAATGTTGGGACATTCCTTTCCATTGTCATTCTGGCTCACTGACACAATAACTGGGCTAAAAGAGTTGGGGCAAACAAAAATAGAGAGAAGAAAAGGAATTGAGGTAATAGTGCTCAATGTTAGTAGTGGTGCAGACGTCCTACTTCAAGTTGAAGCTCCGTTTAATTTTCAGCTAACATCATTCTCTCCTGGGTGCCACTAGTGTCGCCAAAAGAAGCTCACCCTAGCAATACCAAAGTAATCTGAGCACGGAACATCATGCAGGCCATGTTACCATAAGGCTTGCCAGCATCTTTGATTCAAACGGGCCAACTCCAAATTGTTTAACACGTATATCACAAGATAAACTTAACTACAATATGGACCCCAAAAATATCTAATTGCACCCATTCAACAAACTTTGGGAAGACATAAGTTTAATTTTTTTTAGATCTTCATCGCAACTAACAGAGCGTAGCAAATGCCCATAGACTTTGAAGCTATTCCCAAAATTCTGTTCGTACATTCACCTACATCTCCAGTTCCTTCTATCTACCCATTTACTAGTTCCTTCTAATTTTTTGCTTCTGTATACCCATTTCCAGTGTATTTCTCTTTCAACCCTGATTTAAGCATCACGTTCACCAATTATGCCATGATTTTTAAATAAATCCACAGTACTTGCAGAATATGTACTTCTAAATTTAGAACCTAGTGATAAATGGAGTTTGATAAGAATAACTTATTTACATCTTAGATGGAAGTATAGTTCGAAAAAGAAGAAAATTACCATATCAAGCCTCTATCTTCATCTACAGCAGGCTGCGTTTTGACCTTTCAAAAGTTTAAATATGAGATTTAGTTAGAGGAATACAAAAAAAACATAAATGAATAAATAAAATCTCTAAAGAGATAATATAATTAAGAATAAAGAATTATCTACTAATAAATAAAAAATAAAATAAAACTAAAAAAAGAAAACATGAGATAGCTAAAACGGGGAAAATATTTCTACCATTCTCTCAAGTGGACGGAAACATAAATGAAAAATAAAATCAACAATTATAATGGAAAATCATGCAACTTGTGCACAAAGCTAGTGAAAAACTGAGACAGATACATGGCCAGCAAAAACTGACAATAATTATGGTCTTAAAAGCTAAACAATTCAACGTATATGGCAGAATATTTAATTCTAAAAGCATTGAAAAGATTGTAAATGAAGTTCAGAAAAATTTAACTTGAGCAATTGAGCGTGACTAATTCATGAAAATGTATAATGAAATAACATGGGCAATCGACAATTTTGAAAATAACACCAAAAATTAAAACTATCAAGGGAAAAAATCTCCAGTTAACAGATCACTGGAGGCAAGCAACTGGAATCATGAAAGAAAAGGAAGAACAAGATGCACCTTTACCTTTAGTCTACAGCAACGTAAACTTATACCAAGAAACATACGCTATACAAGCCAAACTTCCATTTAGAACGAGAATAAGGCATGGTCAGCCATTCTATAAAATGTCAACCATGCAAGAATACAGGCACCACTGGAAATCCAGTGCTCAACCCAAGTTAAACTTTCATTGGGTACCCTCCTAACTCCCTCAAAAATCATTCCTAAACAGCTCGGATGGCTTGGGTGGTGAGATCGGCACGTACAGGAGACGAAGAAGTTCTGCCTCTATTAGCTTTAACAAAGATTCCTCTAATGGACCAGTACAACAGTATTATACACCCGTGCACAATTCCTCTAACATCTACCATTAATAATGGTTAGAATTTCAGCATCTAATAACAATTCAAAGACAAGATGTATAGAATTGTTTATTAAAATGTTTGAAGTGAATTCTGGGGTAATAAAAAAAGATAAGAACCTAAAGTATTAGTGGTCTTGAACAAAGATCACAATTCAGATACACTGAAAATAGGATGCATGTCAAAAGTCAAAACTTCTGTTGACCTTCATATAATATTCAAAGGAATAAAAAAAATGAAAATCCAGCATACATACCTATAGACCGTTGAACCCGCAAATCCTGCAGAAATCACGTCGAACTCAAACGGAAATCCCGTAACTTCGTACCTGTTCGGCGCCGTTCGCGTCGCTTCTCCGCGAATCCTGCGACGACGGCTTCGATCGCCTCCCATTCGCGGCTATAAAATGAAGCCGAACCCTCTTCTCCGTTCGCTACACACGACTCCACTCCAACGCCACAGAAATCTCCCGATCTTCTCTGCTCTGTCCGAGATCCTCTCCCGCTCGGACGACCTCCCTACTCTCTTCCGACCACAGCCCACGCCTCCAACCGAACTCTTGTTCGGAACTCCACTGTCGAACCATCATCTCCATCTCAGCCGACGTCGAAGCCCCGACCTCCTCCCGATCCCTTGACTTCGTTCGATCTCAGAGAGAGAGAGAGAGAGGGAGAAGCCGACCCTACCTCTACCATTGCCGTTCGACCTTGCTCTTCCCACAACTCCCTCTTCCGATCGGATAGAAAGTTACACATTTTGATCGGAAGTGGGGAGAGGAGCTTGATTGCTACGAAGGTAACTTTCTCTCTTAAGCGTGCTTCTTCGGCCAAGCCCAGTAAATCTCCCAAACTGAGAGGGGGAGGAGAGATTTCTTTTTTATAATTATTATTTAATATACTTAATTATAATTAAGTTAGGCTTAATTATAATTAATTATGTTAATTTTTTATTAATTATAATTAATTAATAGTTAATTATAGTTAATTATAATTATTATAATTAAAAATTTTAATTATATTTAATTAATAATAATAGTAATTACTTTTAATAAAATAAATTATAATTATTTATTAATTATTATAGTTATTTATTTTAGTTAATAATAACTAAATTATGCAAATAATTATAATTAGCTATTTAATTAAAGAATTATTATTATTATAATCAGAGTAGATTAATTGTGTAATCATAATTTAATTATTTTTAGATTATAATTAATTATCACTAATATAATAACTATAATTAATTATAATTAATTATGGGTAAATATATTTACTATGTGTTAATTTTAAAACAATAATATTATAAAAATATAATTAATTAGAAAAAAAAATTCTGCCTCCCTCGATCTTCGCCACGACCGCAAGGTTAACTTTTCTAAACTCTTAAAACTCCGAGATCCCGCTTTCGATGCTTTGCAACGCGACCAAACGACCACCTATACACGCTTTCTCTAGCGTTGGTGGAGAAGGTCTCGCCCGGTTTCAACGAAATTGGGAGATCACATGAAATCCTGTTCTCGATGTTGCGTGCAAATCGGTAAACCGGCACTATCACACGCTTTTCTCTAACGTGGTGGGGTTGGACCCGGTGCGCGTGCGTACGGCAAGACGGATATTCATAAGTACTCGTTCGCGGGGAAATTAACTGCTTTTCATCCATTTAGTACCCGCTCGGGGGGAAAAAACCCCCCTCGCCGCGCGCGCGCCAAACAAAAAAACAAAAAAAAAAAACTTTGGGGGGAACTACCACAAAAACAAAGGGGGCGTGGGGGGCGGGGTTTTTTTTCCCCCCATTCCCATGTTTCCCGCCACCGACGGGCCGCCATGCTGCACACCTAGTTCACCAAAAGCCCATACACGTCTTTACTCTGGCGTTGGTGGGGACAAAAAACTTTACACGGCCGCGTGTCCTCGAAAAGAGCGCACCTACCGACGACGCTTTTCTCGTAGCGTGGCGGGAGGCCCAATTTTCCCGTAGTTTTCCCCTAACGGGGAATGCCGGAGCCTGCCGAAATTTCGAGCTGAATTACTGCTACGCTCGGACCTGGTTTTTAACTCAAAGAGAACAAAAAGTTGACACATTTGAACAATCAAGGACTTGGAACTATGCTCATGAACTCAAACAAAAATGAACTAAATACACTTGAAACTTAAAATTTGAATCTCAAAACTTGTGGACATCGAACTTGAAAAGACATTAACACGAAGAGACTTCATGAACTACAAGAGGACTACGCTCAGAACTTGATTGTCAGATTTAATGGAACTGAACAAGACTTGGAACAAAGATTTGGATCAGACTTGAACTCAAGTGCTCGATCCGAACTTGATCTGAGACAACCATACAGGAGTATCAACTCAGCTAAAATCTAAGTACAACTCGCTCAAGAAATAGATTGAGATGGCTAATACTTGCATTCAGTAGTGAGGACCCGTTCCTATAACAAGTACAATCATCAAACCACCAGAGATTAGTGAAAGTCGTGGATATGGTGCAGAAAAGCATGGGCCTTCTACAAAACATTTTTTAGGAGGATGTATTGAATACAGCTGGTCCCCTTGCCAATGGATACTGTGGATTAACAACCAGTGTATTGAAAGTTAACAATGAATCACATTTGGACACAATGTACGGATATTACCATACTAGCGACGTACCAAGATTCTCAAGTGCGTGGTATAATAAGGGGCGAACTCTATGTACGAGAAAGGACACCCCCTGCATAAAGGGAACAATGTTTGAAACAACATTAGAACAAACTTTCTGGTGTTCCAAAGTCTCTTTTGGTGTCTATAATTAAGAACGGAACAATTGTTCGGGTGCCACAAAAACCGAGAAAAGTAGCAAGTCCACACGCCGAAGAGCCTTAAAAAGAGTATTTCCAAATCAGCAGTCTTTGACTCCAAAATCCAGGAAAATCCTTCCCCGGTGAATGAGAAGGGGGGTCAACATCAAAGACGCACGCCACCGGATCTGGCCAACACTGATACAAGCAGACTATAGGCGTCTATAAACCTACAATGCCACGCCACCGGATCTGCAACATGATACAAGCAGACAGAAGCGTCATACAATCTACAACTTGCCCGCCAGCCGGATCTGCAACACTGATACAAGCAGACAGAAGGCGTCTACAATCTACACGCCACGCCACCGGATCGCGATACTCGGCTAGCGGACAGAAGGTGTACAACCCTCAAATGAAAAGTTGTGCGCCACTCAAATGGTGTTACTATGCACAACTACAAAATCAAAACAAGGCACAAAGCTCACAAGAAAACCTGTACCTCGTCAATACTTGGCGAGTTACAATGGTTCAATCCATAAAGGATAATGACCCCAAACACCCTGATGATGACCGTGTTGAATGATGAACTCAACGGAGTGGGTAATTTCAAGCATTTCAAAGTTCTCCCAAAAGTCCATTCAAAATCAAATTCTACAAATCCCAAATATTTTAAAATTGAAATCTTATCCATCAATGTTTAAGCAAACCAGATCCACGTTCTCGCGCAACAGTTTGCCGAGGTGGACAAATCAAATTTCTTCAGCTCAAAAGAGTCAAATGCCTAGTCGAAATGTCACTAGGATCCTTCTTTCAAACAATCTCCTGCCAGTAAGGACTGGTACGTGTCCTCTAACCGGCGGTCTGCCGCTAAATGGCCACCGCAGGATAAACGGTTACGACGACTCGGGGCCCTCTGAACCGAGTGGTTTTGCCGCCACAGATAGCGGTTATGGCCAGAGCCAATACGCTCCTTAATGGCTTTAAATCCTTGAGATATGAATCAATAGGATATGATCGATAGGGCACAAAGCCCTCTGTAAGCTAAGGTGGATTCAAATTTGTCCCCTTAGACAAACATTCAACCCCGGTCTATAAGGTTCCCTTGGACGAAGCAACCCATGGCTGCCGACAAGGATCCTTCTGTCAGGTTGGGTCGACTACCTCCTTTGACTAAGTAGACCAGGGACCACGATGGCCCGGGACGACGGAACCATGGGATCTTGATCGGGCCCATCATCCATTCCCCCACCATCCGCTTTAAGTGTGGGATGATAAAATTTCTAT